TCTGTGCATACTGCGCATGCCTTGATGCTCTGAATTTGTTTGTACAGCTGTGAAATTCTCAAATTAACTATCTGTCACGAAAAGTAAAATACTGCCAGGAGAGCATGGAGATGAAATCCAAGTCAATGGGAGAAAATTACAAAATGGCATCCTGCGACATGAATCACTTTTACGGAATAACTCCTGCTATAATAATAAGTCTGTAGTTTCTAGACAGTAGATCATTAGCAGCAGCAGCACAGGTAGTTCCAACAACTTACTACTATACAAATCTTGAGCATTTATTAAGATTGATATCAGTCATCTCCCTGTCATTTTATAAATGTATGATTTATTTATGACTAAAATTTCCAAAAAGGGAAAAAAATGACTTCTTTGAAAATATATCATACAGTCACACCAGTCTAATACTGCTCTCCTTGTTTAAAATTTCCATTTCATTTAAAATTCAAAGTTTTGTCTGTCTGAAGCAAAGGATCAGATATAACATCAATGTTTTCAGAATCATCAGGTTTTCAAGCATGGTTTAGCTGCTTAACAATGAAGAACATTGTCTTCTGAGATTTCCAAAAGAACCTAGCACCTAACATCCTTTGAAACAAACAATTGTTAAGTGCTTCTCATCTTTAGAAACTGAAATGCTTTTAATAACTTATTGCTGAATGATTAACTAATCAAACACCACAAGGTTAGAGAGCTAGCTTTGTGGAGGACACACTGAGCACCTACTATGATACCCAAAAGTGTCTACTACAGCATTAAGCTCGGAAGGGCAATGAGCAGAAACTGCGTAAACGGCACCAGAGGCTGCCAAACTCCAGTGCTCTCAGTCACGTGTTACTCCCCTGGATAATAGACACCAAAGCAGAGTGTGACTCAGGTGCTATTTTTAGCTGCAGGGATTCAGTCCTAAAGAGGCATCTTATACAGAAACAAAAAACACAAATCTAATTTAAAATAATTTCTTCGAAGTTTGACCCTTGTGAAAGGATAGATTTGCCCAAGTCCATCTGCACAACCAGCAAGATATTCAGCCCCAAGAAGCAATAACACACAGAACACGAGTGACCCTGCTGGGTCAGCTGAAGGTTCATCTGAACCAGATGAAGACTGGCCATAAGTATCTAGGGAAGACTGAGACCACAGAAAACTTGTTACACCTCTCAAATACCTTCTCAAGCTCCAACCACTTTCAGCTATGGGGACTTCCTCATCTAGATGGACTTCTTGTGTATTCAGCCTTCCAAGAGATCTCTCTTCCATTACCTTATTCAGTGTTTTCTTGAACTCAGGTAAACTAACACTTATTGGCAAGATATTTCCAACCGGTTCATATACAAGGACCCTGTTTCGTTTGTTTGGCTCCTACTAGTTTCACTTGATGTCCCATAGTTTTTGTACAGAAAAGACTAAATATCTACCTGGGTTTGGTACAAATCCCTGGGTTTGCAGGTTCCATCATATGCCCCCATGCTACCTCCTTCCACACTGAAGAATCATAACCTACTCAAGTCACTCGTAAAAAGCTACTCCATCGATCTCCTTCATTCATAAAAAGTTACTCCTTACTTCATTGCCTTCCTCTGACTCTTAAGGAAAGAAGACTTGACTTTTGCATCGCACACCTTTTAGTCTCCTTTTCAGTTTCTTAAAGTTGTATTCCCAAGTCACATTACCAGTAGTTTCCTAACTCTTTGGAAAATGTCCCCAGTATCCACAAGCATCTCCACATGACTGAAAAAGGAACTGTTTATATCAATACCACTACCTTCCAGATTAGGAAAATACAGTTATTTTGGGAGGCACAACTCTTTTGGTTTATGCTTTCCACACTCAAAAAGGCTGGCCTAGGGGGTCCCTGAAAGCTGAAGAAAGTTCAGTCCTCCCTAATAAGAAAGGAAACGATACAGTTTTGTGAAGAAACAAACTTCAAAACCAGCAGTGACTAGAAACATATTGCACAAGCAGTTAACCCAGAAGAAATAGGATTTAACCTCTGCCATTCTGTCAAGTATTGCAATAGGAACTTAAGAATTATGGAAAACAACTGATGAGCCAGTGTATGCAATATTAGTTTTTAACATCTTCTTATATGTGTTGCTATAGCTGCTAAACTGGCCAGACAGCCCCAAAAGGCTGCACAAGTGAATTCATGATCAGTAGTACATATCAAGCAGAACAGGGTATCTCATCTTCCTCTAAGACAAAACTAAAATGAAAATATTTTATGGAGCTTTGCCATTGAGGAAGTAGTTCACATACAAGGAAAAACTTCCATTTATGAAAACAGACCAAATCGTCAAGCTTGTGGAGGGACTTAGTAATACACTACCCCCCCCCCCCCCCATTATCTATAGCCTTATCCTGTCCCCCTCACTCAGCTGCAACCTGGTGCTGCCTGCAAACTGATCTTTCTGGTAGCTACTCATTTTACATCAGTCTGCTTCTATCTAAAAAAATTAAAAGTTACCTATGTGGATAGAAAAGCATGTTATCTATTTTGATAGAGACTAAACTCTACAGGAAACAGCAGCTTCTTCCAGCTGCCACTGAAGTCACCAGGGCACCTGGGTGAAAGACCATAATGTTTCTGTTTTCCTGCGCACACAGAAATGGTCAAATGGCTTCAAAATTCCACATGTATTATTAACAGAGTGCACAATAATGATTCAGAGGAGGATTGTGGAATTCTTACTATGCTAAATTTCATACATTATAATCTTGTTATAAATTTCCTTGGCACCACAAGTCAGATTTTCCAATGCGTAGAGTAGTCCTATTGCCTAGGACTGCTACATAGGGAATTAAAATCCGAAAGGATTAATAGCTCCCTAATAGCCTACAATGACACAAATCTATTACTCTGCCATTTCTTTGAATTCTTACTATACTAAGTATGAAATAACATACATTGAGAAAATAGCAGTGGAGCAGAATTTTTTCCTTTTAATTGCACTGCTGTTATACCAGTTTGACAAATAAAAGACCAACAAGTCTACGTAATTACAACATATGGGATTACAAATGTCTAATTGGCTTCTAATGTAACTTAGGTTCAAAAAAAGGGAATCAGCTAATTGAAGTAAGGAAGGCCACATTCTCAGCTGAGGAAGTTAATACAAGAAAGGAGGTATGCACCTTCAGTGATAAAACATTGGTACGTTTCTGGGTTATCTTTCCAAATGGTAGCTCTTCCCAAATGAGCCACCATCAGACAAAAGTCTGATGATACGAAAAAACCCAAACAAACCAACCAAAAAAAAAACCACATGCCACCACCAAAGCCCCCAAAAGCAGTAGCTAGATATCTAACAAAAACATATTGTTTGAATTTCTAAATATTCACTGGAACTTTGTAGTGGAATTTATGAATATTAATTTTCCTGAGAATTTTATATTAAATAGACATGGCTTTCCGAGACGTCAGTCTGTAAAAAAATGCTCTATGCTTTGTGATTTAATTGATTTTCTAGTACACCAGCTAGGCAAGATATGAAAAGGGAATGTTTTAGAACTATGTAACCAAGTTTACCTTTTGGGTATTCACTGAATCTTTTAGTAGTTTTTGTCAATAACGGTACCTTTTGTTTGTTTGTTTGTTAAGGGAAAACACCAAAGCAACAAGTAACCCTTCTTTCTGCCTAGCTAGGTCTTAGGCTCAATCAAAATGACTGCCATAAGCGTTTTCTCAACTTGGGAGCTACCATGACACTAGCAGGCCACAACTTCGGTGAAGACAAGCTGGACCATATTATAAAGAGGAACTCAGAAGTTATCCAGTACTTCTACTAACCAAACCCTGATTACAACTTGAAATATGAAACATGAGTTCCAGCTGTCTTTTCCTCCTTTGTGGAGGAAGGTTTCCTTCCTTCTCTACTTTAGTTCTTATCTTTCTTCCCAGATATCTCCTCCTTTTTCTTCAGGAAAAAAAAAAAAAACCACAAAGCAAGCAAACAATGCCGCCCCTGCACCCCCTCAACCCATAGAAGGTTAAAAATTATTAAATAAACAAAATCTGCTTTCAATTAAATAAGTAAAATCTGCTTTCATCCAGACAATTTCTTCTGCAACAACAATTATGAGCTTGGAACCAAGAAAAACAACTTACACAGCTGCAGCTGACACAAGGCTGTCAGTTCTCAGAACTGCTGATAAAATTTATGCTGTGCTCTAATTTTTGTTACAGACTAGTTATGAAAACATCAGGGATAGAGGACGCATTATGTGATTTCTGCTCTCGAGCTCTTTTTTACCTGCTGTGTATTTGCTTGTTTTAGCTTTAAAGGAAGATGCATCTGAATTCAACAAGAAAAATAAAAACAGTTTCACAGTAAATGCACTAATGCAAGTGTCAACCATTTAATTTAACTTCTCCCAGAAAGAAACCTGCTGCACTCTTGAATTTCTCCCAATAAGACTGTCCTATAAACATCATTTAAATGAAAGGGTGGTTGCGGTCAAGTAAGATCTTAACCTGATCTTTGCAAAGCTCTTCAGTATCTTCTGAAGATTCCAATTTTTCCCCATCATCCGTGCAACTCTTTACTGAAATCCTTCCAGTACACCAACAGGACCTTTAAACTCAATTCACCAAAATTAACTATAGAATTTTATTAGTGGCCTCCCTAGAGCTGTTTATGGAGGAAAAGGCACCTCCCACAGCTACTTAATATTCCCCTTGCAAATAAATACAAGGATCACATTTTCTCTATTAGCTACCACATCACACTGCTAGATCTTGTTCTATGTCTTATCCTCCACATGTTACAAGTCATTTTTTGAGTAACTGCCTCTCATAGTTACCTTAACAATTACCCAAGAAGTATTAACTCCCTCAATTTTATGTTGTAATTTTTCTACACAGAGCAATTACCTCCCTGCCCATTTACAGAGCCTCCATAAATGAAATCTCTTAACTGCACAAAAAAGTTCAGTACCAGAACAGTCAGATACCTCAGATACTGATAATACATGCTAGAACATTTACTGACACTTACTTTGCCAGGCTTGTTTGTATCAAAGCTGTTTTCTTTAAATTTCTCCTGCAGGGTCTCAGCTAACCGACAAAGCAAGGCACCGTTATCCAATTTCTCCATAAAGGTTTCTGCTGTTATTTCTCTACCTGAACAGCAAACAGAAAGTTAACATGGCAGAAAGTGTGCAATAGTATAGACTGCATTTGTGTCAAAAGAGAAATCAATAGAAATCTTGACAACAATTTGAATTATGCTTTAACTGAAAAACTTGCATTACTTTGAATATTTAGCGAATAACCTCACTACTACTTTAATGGTAGGCATACAGCAAATTATCCAGAAATAACATGCTTTCTTTGGGAAGACGTGCTATTTGAAAAATAATTCTAGCATCTCTCATTTTATTTATGAAATTCTGGTGCTTTTAACATAGTGTTTTAAAAGACAGAGAACAGCAGGCAAATGTTTTACACCAGTATGCATGGGTAGCTATAGCATAAGAGTTGTTAATGCTACTGCAGCTTATTTTGTAACAGAAGTAGAAAAACATGTCAAGGAGAGGATTGTACTTTTTTAAACAGACTTCAAGACTTGATCCTGCAAGAAGCTGACAAGATACTACAGTGACTGCAATGCTCCTTTGGAAGAGCTTTTTCAGAAGTAAAGCTAGGTACATAAAAAAAAGGGAGAGGGTGAAATTTCATGTTATGTATCTACTTGCCACAGAGATTAAAATTTTCACCCAAAGAACAAAGCCAAAATACTCCGATTTCAAATATATCAATTATTATCACGCTAAATGATGCCGTTCTTCAGCTGCCACAGATCATCCTCCCTGGCTACAGCAGACCAGACGCCCTTCCATTATACCATAATGACATCCTCCTGGCAGAGGAGATGACAAGACTCCCACGATGAGACGTGCATTCTGACCAGGCTGGGCAGGCCAGATTAGAAAGAAATCACTTACCACTCTAGACTAAACTTCCAGGATCCTAACATCATTCCCAGGTAAAAATATTCCTATTTCTTATTGAAAGTTTTCCATTTTCACATTTGTACTGGAAAATTTGCCTTCTCTTTGGACAATTTTTTGACTAGCAGCTGTATTTTTCAGCCTTCCTAACTTCTACTAATATCAAGAGAGCATCAAGGACTAATTCTTGCTCTTCCTATTAAGACAGGATTTATTTATTTTTGATGATATTTATATATGTCATTTGGGAACAGGAATAACACTATGAACTCAGTTTTCATAGGCTATTACACAGTCATCATCAGTAAGAAGTCTACACTTCAAAAAAAATTAAAAAAACTGAAGTGAGAGTGGTTCCTCAGCCCATCCAAATCCACTCCTGCTACTAAAAACTGGTTTGTTTGCAAGCAGGACAATAGGCAGAAGTCTGCCCACGGCTCGTTGGGGTTTTTTGCCACAGATTTTTGCCCAATAAGCAGCTGCCTGACTAAACCAGGTGGGGTTTTTTGTTTGTTTTTCTAGTTAGTTTGGGGAAATTTATTTTCCATTATATTTAATTAAATAAATAAATAATATTTAAGTAAATTAAATTAATTAAATAAATATTTATTAATCTGTTTAGAACAGGTTCACAACATTTTTTTTTGCTCAAAAACACCCAGGAAAAATAGATTTAGAAAAAAGAAGTAAAGCTTTTCTATACCTTTTCACTCAAAAGAGAGGGGAAAACTAACACTCAAAAGTAACAGAAATGAAGCAGATAATCAAAAATTAATATCATACTTCTGCAATATATTGCTGGTACATTGTAATCTGACAGTCAATGTCACTTAGAACACTGAAGATACCAGTATTATAAAGCAACAGGATTACAAAAATGCTAAAGGAAAGCTGATTTCTTTAGGCCCTTGCCTGAAAACTGTAAGATAGTTCAGCATACTTTGGGCAAAACGTTGTGAGTCTTCAGTTTGATCAGTTAAAAATCAAAGACTAAGATAAAGATCTTTGCAGCAAATCATACAGTAAACAACAGTACAACTTATATTTCTGGTTGAAGTTAAACTTACTCTTTTCTAACATATTTCTACTTCAGAAATGTATGTTTAATGTGAAGGCTTTTTCCCCTTTTTATTCTCCCTTAATTCTCTCTGCCATATAGCCCACTTTATAGCTCCTGTATGCTTAAATGACTTCTCCAGGCAAAAAAAGCAGTAGCAGCAGCAGCACCGCAGACAGTCAGTGGTAGCTTGTGCATAACTGATGACATTTTATCAGTGCCTCCAGCTCAGCTGAAGCCAGGACTGAAACTTTAATAGCCCACAGATAGAAAAATTGAACATCTCAGCACCTCAAAAGCCCTCATCACTGTTCTAGCCTACATATTTTCTCATTTGCCCCATCAGCGTTTTTGGCAAGAGGTATAAAGCCATTAGAAAGCCAAATTTGAAAAATGACTATGTTGTAGGAACTGCCTTATTTTTAATAGAGTATTGCATTTTATAATAGACTCATTTTCCTCTAAAATATTTATTTCAAATATTTTTTTACGCTACTCGAGATTTTTATTTCATTTTGGAAAGCATAATTTTTCACACAGGTAAAAGAAAAATCATATTCTACATATCTATTCTGTCCTATGATTTATAGATTTATTATTTCACTGGTCAAGCATTAAAATACCTAAAACCTATTTAGAGGTATTTTCTCTTTACACAGACATGGAAAAATTCTTCTATCTTCTTCTGCTAACAATATGTTTAAGCTATTTTAAATGCTGAATTGCATTAGCAGTTTGGTCACTGCGTATTGTACACTAAGCTGGAGTATTTTAGTTCTGTTCCCTTTTATGAAAGCTGAAAGAATGAGTTTTGCATTGAACATCTGTATCCAATGAAAAATATATTAGGTGTCAGCTTTCAATTCACTGTATTTTATGGCTCCAAAAGGTGGCATTTCTTTGCTAAAACAGACACTGTGACATATTTAACAGTTGAAATGTATTGATTCAAATGAGAGTAATGTTCATAGCCTGAGGAAAAAAATGGCTCTGTACATTTGTATGGAAAAAACATTAAACTCCATTAAAAATGTATAACTCCCCCTATAATTACAAGAAAGCAGTTGCAATGTTTTTATAGAATGGAAATAACATTAAGCATAATAAAAAAACAACACTAAAAGTATGAAAAAAAAACAAACACAAAACAGGAATACGAAGACTTTCTTAAACCACGCAAGCACTGCTTACCCACTCTTTACTGCAACCACCAGATGCCCCTTAAAAAGACAAACAGTTATACCTGAACACCTACCACTTGGAAACTGTGGGCAGCTATCTATACGGCCACCCAGTCCTGGGGGTCCTAAGGCAACCAGACTGGGAGGTCTATGAACGAATAACTAAGATGACTCCATGTCCAGGGTGTGTGCCGAAGAGGTCGAAGATAAAGCATTCCCTATGGGCCGTCTCAGACAATCAGAGCCTTCAGAAGAAGGCAGAGACTCAAAGATTAAAACAAAGTACCAAAATCTAGTTGGTTCCTCTATTATTGCACTGAACAATTCCACACTTAGTTTAATGACTACAATGCAAGGCACTGACTCCAGCCTCACAACTAGCTGATCGACTATTTCAATTGTATGCTTCCGTGATAACACAAAACTACTAGTTTACAAATAGAAACATTTCACTCATGTCAATCTCTGAACCAGATCGGTAGAAGGATGGGCTTCTACAATACTGAGGCACCAGTGGAACAACTCCTCCTCATCCTGTCAAGTTGTGTGGCATTTAAACCCAAGATAACAAAATGCAATAAAAATAAAGAAAACAAAGGCCAATGATTTCATGCATATGCAAAACTGGTTCTTTTCTAATAAGGCTACTCTGTTTCCTACAATAGCTGACAGCAAAAGAAATAGTTTTGATAGCATTGAGACGTTATCACTTACTTGAAATGGGTCATATAAACAATCCCAAAGGCATGTTGATACTAAAGAAAATTATAAAGCCACTCAACTAAATAAGAAACTGCATCAGTGCCAGCAGAATCACTAGAATCAGAATCAGCATCATGAATGACTTGATATTCAGATATTTAAAAACTGCACTTCCCACTGGCTTGAGCTGAACATGCTGATGTCAAAAATAAAGGTACTGCTACAGAATCCTCTTAGGCAGCAAGATGAGCAAAAACACTGAGCTGAAGCATGTTTTGCTTTAATTCAGACTCAAAGAAAGTCAGTTTTCTTGCAGAAGACTTTATGCCTCTTTCAACACACCTTTAAATTCCAAGCCTGGTCTTCAACTCAATGCCTCTCCTAATATCCTCATCTCTCTCTGTTCCTTTTCTCCAAGCCTACTTCACTTTTGCACCCAAGCAACTTTGACAGGCCTCATACAACATGCAATGTTTACATGTCCAATTCTTCAGTGTCTTGCATTCTCCAGCTCCTTACCTATGAGCTTCTGAAGCCCAGAAAAGTCTGTTAGGAAGACGCCTCAGCACTGAAACCTTGGAGCCCAGACAGGTGCCCAGGGCTCATCTTACAGGTCTATACCATGGTCCCACGTGCTAAATGAAACTGGATGGAATAAACAACAATATAACCCTCTGCAGCCAGTAAATAGGCTAGGGGAATGGTAAAAAAATATCAGAGCTCTACACAATAGCCACAGGGGAAACAGAGAAACCATCCCTCTGTACCTGTCCTAAACTACAGACTGGTGATGAGGCCCACTCCTCCTGATGTCAGCCCTTTCGCTTCTGCAGACAAACAAGAGAAACCAAGGCAGTAATGGAGAGTACAGCAGACAAGCAAACTCTATTTGCTTTCAGATTGCCATTTTGCTTCTGCTAGAAGATTACTATGGCCCAACTGTGCTAATTCCCGTGTGAAGCTCGCTCAAGGCAGAGCAGAAGTTTTCAGTATCCACAAGAGCATTCTACTAAAATAAGTATATACATAATCTACAAAATTTGGTGTGTGTCAGCAGTGAAAGCATTGCCAAGTGCCTCATTGGCTCTATACATAATAAAAACAGCGCTGAGAGGTGCTCATGATTTGCAAGACAATTGGGTCAACACATCTCCTTAACTTTGCCACTGCAAGGATCTCTCCACTGAGCCACCAGAGCTCAGCAGAGGGAAGTGAGGGTGAGACACAACATCCATAGCTCCACTCTTCCTCTCCAGCACACAAACCCTAACCCCCGCAACGCTAACCTGTCCCACTTTGAGAATGCTATCATGTACAATATTGTATGAGTTAATCCCTTCTGACACATCGATTTCATCTGCAATGTCCTTTTTCCAGCCCCCAGAATACAGGCAGCTAAAATCTATTCAGCAATGGAGCTGTAATGACAAACTGTCCTCTCAGAAGCTCTGAGTTTCTCTGACATGGTTCCAGAAATCAGTAGCAAAATGCATGCAAAAGTACTAGTGATTACGAAAAAAAAAAAACAACACAACAATGTCCATGCTGAAGTAGAATAAAATGTCCAAAGTCTCAGGGTTAAAAATTCTTACAGGGTTATTTTCTAGCTACACCATGTATCTCAGTCTTCCAACTTATCATTCAGGTAAGGTCAAATTCTAGCTATGCCTAATTTCCATCTAATATCAAAACCTTTCAATCATATTATACAGTGCAATATCTTTCTAATGTTTTCCAGTTTGTAACTTTGAACGCACAGCAGGGTTTACTGTTGCAAAACCGTCACCATTTTAACTTCCACTAACACTGTGTAGGATACATTGGACTCTCCACAAAAATTTCCAAAAACACCATCAGTTGATCAAGATACCTCAAAGAGATTCAGCCCTACTCTTGCCTAAAATACTTTTTTTTAAAATCTACATTTCTTTGAAAGGATTATGTGTCCTTATTGAGTTATATGACAAATGAATGACCAAAATATAGATGAAATAAAACATGAACCAACATGGCAAAATGAAATTAAATGCATATTAATTTTCTTTATAAATTGAGAAATCCTATTGCATTAAAATAGGCATAAAAACACTTAGTGTGAGCGCCACACAAGTTACAGTACAGAGCAAACTTGGGTGTGGATACACAGAATATTATCTGCTCTGTGTTATATGCACATTCATGTCCATGAAAATCTGCTGACCATTAATGTAAAGTACATTACTTCTCTTATGGAGGAAAAAAAAACACCACAAAACACAAAAAGAAATTAAACAAAAAGGAGTCTTGTGTATCCTTTCATCCTTTTGGATGCTGAAACTGAGAGAGTACAAACAGTTTTTTACAACAAGGTAACAGAATGCTATAAATTCATACCTATTTTATCGTACAGCAACATCCTCATGTGTCCCTCCTCTCATTAAAGTTAACCTAAATTATAATTAAATCAAATTTGAATCCTGAGTAAATACATCTATATGAATATTAATTACTTTAATTCAGTTACACTTAATTTATTTTGAATGCAGATTTTAACTTAATTGAATTATTAATTTGAATAACAATGTCTACACAGGAATTCAAAGCAGTGTAACAAATCACTATAATTTCAGTTCTTCAGGACAAACTCTTGAGAAAAGAAGAGCTTGGTGTGAGAAGGTGTCAGGGAATGCATTAAGCAAGTGAACTGTGTATGCTGCTTAATTAAAAGAAGGTTGTGCCCATTTAGTTCTGCAGTGCAGAATTTGGTGTCCATATGAAAAATCAGATTTTTAATTACAGTTGGCATTTCAGAACCTCCTGCTGGTTGCTACTTTCTTGCTAAAAAAAGTGACCTCATTCCTAAACTTGTCACTGTGAGAACTCTGTCATGAACTGCAAACAAGCTTCTATTTGTTTTAGAGTGGTTCACTAAAACTTCAATGTTTAAAACATCTAAACAATATATTAAATCCTTAATGGAAAATGCTTCTTCTGATTCAAAAAACAGTCTATTGGATTGCTGTCTTGTGGTAATTGGAATGAAAAGTCAGGATTTCTAGATTTTGTTCTGGCATTGTCTAGACAATTTTATATTCAAAACTCATTAATTTACACGGACGTACCACACAAAGATGTAATTTATAACAAGTGCCACTTTTGCAGTTGTGGATTCATAACTATTCCAACTCCAAAATGGGTATTGCCTACCTGCAAAATACTGTGTTCTGGCATTCTACTGACACTGTACTTATTGACCACACCTCTCACAACACAGTGATACTCCCCTTCCTCTTAAAAAAAAGGAAATACAGCGATGCGGAAAATGCAGATGAAAGGCACTAGATATACTGTATTATTACATGATATCACTGACACAGTTCAGCTACAGCATTTGCCAAGACAAGATACTGCCTATGGCTCACCAGAATAGACTTACAGAAAAAAACAAAAAACAAAACAAAACAAAACCAAAGACCAAAAACCCCCAAACCCACACAAACCAAATTTAAAAACACTTATCCAAATTTTCCTCCAAAATAACGCCAATGAAAGTTTCATGTAAACATCACCTCCTCTGAAATATTTTTCTCCTTTTTGTTTAATGAAAGGATCTGCTGGCATGTTTCCCTTAGGATGCAGTGATGTGTAAGTCATGTATTTCTTCGGTAGAATCCTTTGGACTTACAGAGATCACACAAAAGCCATTTTCCCCCGAATGCCCTCAACAAACAACACAGTATTTCCTGGTACATAGTTTCTAAATTCCACTTTCTTGAATGAGTCATATATCCTAAAGAACTATCTTTCTCTTTCCTGCCAGGGACATATTCTCATTGGCTCCTCTTCAAGTGTACCTGATTTTTTTCTTGGCTTTTGGTTGGCATCCTCTTTCATCGACAACATGTTTTGGCTTCACACACCAAGACGTACAGCTGCAACCAGTAAATCCCCAGGTCCCAGCTGCAGCCACTAGGTCAGACCCCTCTATGCAGAAGCTTCCACAAGTTTTAGCGTGCATTGCCTTGGGCAGCAATTATCAATCACGAGACTGCTTGGTCAGCAAAGAACTACTTAATGGCTCCTTCCGTTCAAGACAATGAGTACATCCACACGACCAATAAAAATGGGAGATGTAGCTGATGGCAGTAATTAGCACCATTCAGCTTAACGGTATTAATACAGAAAACATGCAAAAGAACATTTAAAAGAAAATTTGAGGGAAAATAAACATGAAATTAATAATAAAGTTCAATTATGCCACTCACAGAAACACTGTGGAGGCAAATTACTTACTAGCTTTTCTGACCTTGCTAACAGTTGCACTATGTGGAGGTAGCTACCTAAGCATAACTACCTTTATTTTTGAAACGCAAAGTCTGAAGGACTGAATTCCCAGCTAACAGCATATAGAGGTCTCTTACTGCCCAGTATCTGCATTCCATCCTATTGTATCTTACCCAGTAGGTTTGTGAGCCACAGGGCCAAATCCTCTTTCATCGGCAACAAGTTGGCCTCATGTCTACTTGCAAGCCACTGGCTGTATTGATGCATATCAGAGAGGCCAGGCCCACGTGCCTTCGGGCTCAGAGCAGTGCACATTGCTTATCCGCTTGTTGTACCTGTTATATTATACATATTAAAAAAAAAAAAAAAAAGTATGTCATTATACCAAATAAAGTTTCATGGGTTCTGTTTTTAGAATTGTAGAAGATAACAATAGTAACTATGATTCTAATAAATTAGATGTCAGACAAACAGATGTGGATCTAACACATAAATACAACATTGATGACTGACGTTTTGGTTTGTTAATGGATCACAGTGCAAGTGATTAAATCACACCGATAAACGCCAACTTCATTTGTACTCACCAAGCTACACACATAGCCAAATATTCTGCAAGGAATGATTAAAATCAAATCCAAACAAACATTATACACAAAGTTAACAACTCACTACGGTGCCCAATCCAATATCCATTCAAAATAAATGGAAAGTTTCAGAGATTTTTGGATCAGGCCCAAGAAAAACACAGGAACAACTGAGTTATGCTACTACAGCAAACTTACTAACAATTAACAAGTGCAGTTACCAAATGAAATCAGTCTATTCTACAGCTTTAGAATAATTACAGAAAAAAAAAAAAAACCCAACGCCACACCAAATATATTTACTGAATGGCATTATTTCTTCAGAAAGCCGCACAACAGCTAGCGCTGGTCACCCGCACTTCCCACTTCCACGTTTTATACAATTACTCCTCTGCTTCAGTGATGACTCACTGAAACTTTAGTTTCAGGTAAGACAATATGTCATGTGTTAAACATTACTTAAGTACCTTGCCACAGCCAGAGACGTTAGGCCCACTGGACCTATATCTCTGCTCCTGAAGGATGAATTGCCCTACCTGTGGCAGAAGTGTGCTAAGGAAAGGAGGTTATTTTTCTCTGAGAAGAAACTCATACCTGGACTCTAATGCCTGTAACAATGAGCTGAGATACCTTCTTGCCCGGTAGGCTGTAACGTGCTGAAAGCCCAGTCTCACAAACCAGCAATCTCAAGGACTTACGCAGGTGGCACTAGACAGACATCCAGTGGGAGTGGGAGGTCCACAAGGAATAGTTCTTTGCCTGTTGTCAACCAGCTGATCCACACCAACTGTGGTTACACATGTCAGCTGGCTTCAGCTTCTGATACACTGCTAACACTCTTATTCTTCGCATACTTTTCAAGTCAGGTAAGAGGTAATAGTGACTTAAAAACCAAGAACAACAACGAACAATGTGTTATACTAGTCCATTGTGGCCTGGAATAACAATACTGAAAGCAAATCCTTTGCCAAAAAAAAATGAAAATGTTTACTGAATGTAAAAAGCAATTGCCTTTCCATAAAATTGTGCTGTAACTGACATTTCCAAATATATGAAAAGGTATTTTGGATATTTTAATGCTTACATTAAAATACTCCAACATTTTTTAACCATACCCTGGGTAACTAAACTCCTTGTTCACAAAAACAGCTGCTTAAGCTCTTGTTGACAGTACCTCACCCCAAATCCTGAAGTTTGGCTTGCCCTTGAGATAGACACAGCTTTCACCATGAATATACTTCTTACTGAATTTTGACAATTTTTTAAGTTGGGGAGGGGGGAAAATAGACATAAAAAAGGCATTATTCCCTTGTATAAATACACATTTCTGAATTATCAGTAGATTTTACCTTTTTTTTAACAAAAAAACAACCTTTATGTATCAAAACTTCCTTTGAAAGCAGAGGAGTTTAAGGCAGATTAACGTATGTAATTTAAGTACAGCTCTGTTCTGAAAACTGACTTTGTAAAAACGTCAGCTTGGATTTATAGTTTCCTGGTTGATTAAATCCAAATCATACCTGTTTATTTGGGGCGGGGTGCAAGGGAGTGGAGGGAGAAGAATTAGGCTGTTAGCTCTGCAAAAGTCAATCTGAAACGTCACTCTCGAAATAGATTCCTTCGGATTAGATGATAGTAACAGCTAAGGAATTACAATGACAGTATATTTAAAGCTGCTCTAAGTCACTCAGAACCAGACAATTTAGTGCTTCAAATCACTGCTTCATTTTGGATGGAGACAGAAGCAACACAGATAATTGACATCACCTTGTCTTCAAAGATTATATGGGAAAAATCAAGTATAAATACCTCTGTCATATACTTTCTCTCCAGAAAAAAAAAAAGCTTTAAAATAATTTTTTGACTGATTTCTGGAGTCTATAAACTCCATTAATACGGTAAGAACCAGAACTGAAACTAATTTATTCACTTGAATCACATCTGAAATGATAACAGTAAAAAATAATTTAAGAAATTTCTCATTCCTGAATGTTCACTTCATATACAATACACAAACAAAGCAAAGTAAGAATACATCATTTTTGGCATCATTTTTTCATTTTATTAACACCTATGTGTCTAAATATTTAGGAACCTAAATCCTGCAATTTGTTTCTTTTGACATACAGATTGGAAAAATACACCTGAAAAAAGAAGCACCGTTGTACTAAAGGAACCGGTTAGACACTGCACTTCTTCCCTGGAAATAATTTCACAGTTCATACATGCTTTGAGGAGGAGGTTAGACTAGACGACCCCTGGAGGTCCCTTCCAACCTAAATTATTCTGGAATTCTATATTTCAAGGATGCACACAGCAGTATTCATCATGGGACCCTAAGCAAGGTTTGCCCAGCTAGGAGTATAACACGTGGCACACCCACCGAGCTGGGCTGTGTTAAAAGGAAAACTACAGAGACAACAGCCTTTTCTTTCACCTCAGAAAAGGTCCACCTAGCTTATCCCTTCCAGGACCACGTATATGAAGCACCCTATGAAAGTCGGAGCTAGTTAATAACCAACATTATAACACGGCTGACAGCCAGCCAGATACAATACAGGCTACTGCCACTGGTGGGGCTGAAGTAACTCCAAGGTCTGAAAGCTGCATTTGTTTAAGACTAGAGAAAAAAGAGAACGGTTCTGGAGCAGGTACATGGAGGCAGTTTGGCTTTTCCTATCAGTCTGTGAAACAAGCACTGCAGTCTGTTTATGCTTCAGGCTGATCTCTGTGGAGATGCAGAGGTGAGAATTCAGGGATTTGAGATGTTACTTCAGTTTGTCTCTAAAATACAGGGCTGTCTTTAAATGTATTTCACATTGACCTACCTCTTGTTTTATAAAACTCATCAATCAGGCTGTGTAAAGATCTCAAGGAACTTTTGAGACTCACTAAAGAAAGAAAAGTGAGAGAACAAAGAGCTCTGATTTTGGAGGATGCATGGGTGCTTCAGTTTCATAGTAACTGTGGTATTAAGAAGATAAAAGATCCAGAGACAAGCAGGGTATTCTGAGTTTAAATTAGTTTTAATAGGACACAGCTTCTCAGATTAGGAAACTAGGAAATATGAGGAAAGGCAGATAGACAGGTGACAATAATTTCTAGAAGGTGAAAATTATTCAGGCATCTCTATACTGCGACTAGGTCTGTTTGAAATAGTAGCCCTGAATTAACAATAACGTATGGTTTAATTTGTGAAGCAGGCATGCACAGTGAGGACTGTAGAATGAGAAATTTAATACTGATGAAGAGACTCCACCAAGAAACCTGAAGAATCACAGATGAATCACATACAATTCAATCTTACCTCTGTGTAAGTTTTCTTTAATTTCATTTCTGAAAGAAATTAATTCTCCCCTTCCTTGCTACTTCTCTGAAAACCTTCCTTACACTTCAGTAAAATACTTTGTTAGAATCAAAGCAACAAAATTCCTACCTTGGATTTTAAAAATAATAAAAAAAAAAAATAACAAAAACCACCAAAAATCAGCCTTCAAGGAGCAGAGCACCGTTTGTTACCTGTAGCTCTTGTCACAAATTCTACAAGTGATATTGTGGGTCAGTTATCAAACTGCAAGCATCAGAAGCTATCAAACTCTTAATTATTCTCTATGCAAACACTGACTGCTACTGAACTGCTAAGTTAAGCCTCCACAATACTTCAGTGCTGAAGTACGTAAGCTTCATGAAAACATTCATCTGCTTCATCAATTGTAATACATTAACTATTAAACTTCATCACATACCAGCTGGGATCTGTGAAGAAGTTGAACTGAGTTAGTTAGGTGAAGATGACAGCAGTTGGGTCCTGCGGTCCTTCAGGACCCCTTTGAAGATTCTACCTGTAGTCAAGGCCAGGCTCCTGATTCTTCACTCAGATATCATCAACTGATCTCCTTAAAATGTCGTAACATTTATTTTCTGGTGAGCTGGAGAAAAGTTTATCGACTATTTAGCAGTGAGGAATTTGGTCAGAGAATGGACTAACTTGCCATGGAGGTAGAGAGTAGCATTCAAGGATACATCACCACAGCTGAGGCAAGGCTCTTTGGCTTCAACAACTATTTCATTCTTTTCTTTTGGCAGACATAAGGTATGAACAAAGTAGCCAAAAACTATTGTTTTTCCTAATCTCACTACTTTCTAACAGCAATATCAAACCATTGTATACACAGCTCTTTAAAACTAGCGAACACAAACATGTCAAATATCAGTGAACAGCTGAGGCTGATCTGATATACAGAAGCATTTTAAACTTACCTCTAAATACTTTGTTCCTCAGAAAGCAACTTCTTCCCCTTACTATTCTGGAGACAGACAAGGAAAGGTCTTTAACTACTTTTCAATCTGTTTTGTTACAGGTCATATTTATGCAGCACAGCCTTTTTTTTCCACCTTTCTCAATAAAAGGACGACATCTCAAATTCTTAGACTTATTGTCTAGCTGAAGAATTCAGTGTGGGATAGTTTACAGTACATCCAGTGACATATAACAGATTCAACACACTAAAAGGTTATATTTCTCTTTGCTTGCTTCTACCAAACAGTGAAGTTTTTATTTTGCTTTACAGTAGTGCATTTAGTTTCCTGTGTATTGTAGCTCACTGCTTGTATTTTGCCAGCAGTGTAACTTACACTATCTGCTGATTGTTGTCAGTGATCATCAGGTGAAAGCAAAGAGAATCAAACAAGTAATCTTCTGTAATTCCATTGGCTTTTGTTGAGGTTAACTGGTAGAACAAATGGATTCAAGAATGAT